TAAATCTAAAAAGGAACACATGTCTGAGATTTTATTTAACTCACTAATTAATGAGGAAACCAACTAGCAAGACATTACAACAGGTTCAATGGAGAATTCAAAGAACACACATGTACACGCTATCACGGATGCTGAAAAATTTCCAAACAGATGCAAAACTGGCCAATATCTGAAGAGCAAACATCAAGCGTATCTTCACCAACATTCACTTGCGTATCTATATATCCATAAACAGGAGTAATTAGCATTACTATCAGTTTCTTAGAGCTTTGTATTAGTCGGGTTCTCTAGAAATAGACCCAGTAGGTGTGTTGTGTGGTACGTGCTGCATGGCTGGTTTGTGCAAGCACACCCTGAACGTCCCTGTTAATCACTATCTTGAGACTATATGGATCTCATCCTCCCACTATATTCCCATCAAGCAAGAAATGTAGAAAAATGTGTTTGAGGTCAGGTGCTCAGGAGACAACCAACCTGGAACATAATGAGGGGTGTCCAGATGGCAGGTCTTCATGTCCTTGGAACGCTGGCCATGCAAGGAGGAAAGGTGACAGGTAGTTGCTAGGCTAGTTGCTACATTATAAAAGAAGCAGGTGGTTTTCCTGCTCATTGGGTTTTCCCAATGAGCTACTTCTGGACTCCCCTAATGTAAGCTCCCCCAATGAATCCCTATGTTGATTGCTGTCTCTGGGTCAATTCCTGAGTCTCGTGGGACGACCGCCCACCCTGGGCTTAGAGTCTGCTGGTGCGCAGCTGCACGATATGCATGTATATATATATGTATGGTGTATTATGAGAAGCTCACTCATGCAATTTGGGAGGGTGAGGAAGTGCAGACCTGGGAGACTTGGTGCTGTGGTTCTCATCAGAGTCTGAAGCCCTCAGTCCAAAGGCCTGAGGACCAGGAGCGCCAATATCCAAGAGCATTGGATATTGGAGAAGGTGGATTATTAATTGCTATTATTAATAAGCAGAGAGAGAAATTTCATTCTTTTTCACCCTTTTGTTCTATTTAGGCCCTCAGTGGATTAGATGAGTCTGCCTGCGTTCATTTGGGAGCCATATCTGCTTTACTCAGTCTCCGGATTCAAATGTTAACATCTTACCAGGATACCTTCACACACACACCCAGCAATCGTGTCTAACTGGCTGTCTGGGCACCTTGTGGCCCAGTCAAGTTGACGTATAAAATGAACCATCATACGCTTAGAGTTTTCAATAATGATCGAAGACGGCTCAGGTCCTCTTGCATCAGGTAACTCCATGTGGAGAGCAAGGTGGAGTCACTCATGTCAAGCAGTGACTCATATCAAACAGTGATGTAAGGAGCCAAAGGCATTGCAGCTAAGACCAGATATTGGCCGGTGACACCAGCACCCACCGATGACACCCCCAGACCCGACAGCCAGCAGAAGCACAGGAGGCCTGTAGGGGCCCCAGATGGGTGACATCCCTCAACAAGGGAGGATTTTTGCAGCAAACCATCAGCCTTGCCAGACACTGACCCCTCCATGTCTGACCACTTCAAAAACACAGCTGCTGCGGAAGGCCCTGCCCGAATGAGGCCCAGGAGCAACAGAGATCCTTCCCTGCTGGGACGTACGAGGCAGTGCGAGCCGGGAGCGGACCCGGACGGGCCAGAGGCCTTTTCTCCACTGCGCACCCACACACTCACTTCGCCTGGGATGGTTCACTTACAACGTCCTGTTCCACCTCATTTGTTGTGTGGCCTGTCTCCTGCCTTGTTTTGTGGGACGTGCAAGAAGCCAAGTTCAACACGCCGTGAAATGTCCCTGAATTTGAAATCCTGGACCTGCTTCATCATCACCTGAGCCTTGCTTGAGGACCGAATAAAGCCGGCCCTGGGGCAGACACACCTTACGTGTGCACCTTCATAGTGTGCTCACGACACCCCACGAACTTCTTTGCTCATTTCAAAGTTTTTCACTGCTTTTCCGGACATTTCTTTTTATATTTGAAGATAAAAACCCAATTCTTGACTGTACCCTTTGGTCTGGACCCTGGCTCTCCTCTGGACCAAAGGAAGACCTTCCTCTCCTCCAACCCTCATCCCTTTGCATTCAGGCCCCACTAGGCCCTCCGACTTCCTCGGGCTTGAGGACCTCCTGCCGCCCACCTGCTTCAGGGACGCCCCCCTTGCCTTGCTTCAAGAGGGGATCCTCCTCAACTTCACCCTCCTACCCAGCGATCTCTTGAGGCTCTCCTCTCAGGTGCCCACCCCCTCCTGAGCTCAAACTTTGTTTCCTCAAGGAAACCCCCTCCCAACCCCTGCACCTTCATCAAAGCTTTTTTTTAGAGACTTTGCCACAACTTGAATTTTAGTGTGGATATGTTCTATGTAAATCTGACTTTGTGATTTTCAAATAGCATAGGCTAAAAATCTTAGTAAACCTGTCTTTCTGCTTAGACTTGGAAATAATGCAAACCTTCTAAAGTACCCTTTCCCTCTTCCCCCTGCCCCCCCTCCCAAAAAAAGTCCCTCAGGACCGCAGAGCTTCAGAGCTGCGTTTCCAATGACCTGTAAACAGGGTTTCCACCCTGGGTGGCTGGTGGACAGAAGTGTCCGCATCCGGGGTCAGCAGCATAGACCTTGCACTTGCTGTGACACTTCTGTGGTGGTTACTGTTGTTCCACACGCAGGTCGTTATGGCACTTGCAGGGGACCAGAAGATGCCGGAATTATGGTAAGCTGAAGATAAGTGAGACACAGCAGACACCAGACGTGCCCTCCCCTCTCCTGCATGGGGACACTCTTATCACAATCTACGGAACAAACCTTCCTGACACAACCCTTTAGCCTCTCCCAAGCATTCACCTTTCCACGGCTCGCCACGCCTACAAGCCTACATTTCATTTCCTTTGTCCTGTCACTTCTCTCCAAATGTATTGTCCCAGGAAGACTCCTTTGGGTTACTCTGCGCTGAGTTTCCCCCACCTGTATGCATGCAGCCTGTATTAATAAACTCTCCTTATTCTCTTGTTTTCTCTTGTGTGTCTTTTGTCAGTTTGATTTTCAGGGCCCAAGCCACAACACCAATGAGCGTACAGGAAAATTTCTTTCCCCCTTCTCCTACACACTCACGGTTACCATAACTTAAAGTGTCTAGAAGCTCCGACAATATTCTCCAGTGGTAGTGCTGAGGATAAGACTCTTCTCTAAAGGCCAGTCCTCACGACTCCTGGTGCTGACACTCTAAACGGTAGGAAAAAAAATTTTTTTAAAAGATTTTATTTATTTATTCATGAGAGACATAGAGAGAGAGGCAGAGACACAGGCAGAGGGAGAGCGGGACTTGATCCTAGAACCTTAGGATCACACCCTGAACCCAAGGCAGACGCTCAACCACTGAGTCACCTGAACTGAGAAAAAATTTTAAGAAGAATACCAGGGGGGGGGGAAAAAAAAAAAGAAGAATACCAGGGAACAAAATCGGCCACACTGGCCTTGGGTGTTCATTTTTGTGGCTCATTTTTCTGGAATTATGAGTTTTGAATTATGCTTCGCTTTTAGGGACATAGCTCATAAATAAAATGCTACAATCTTGTGTGCATTTGGGAGATTATTTGACTCACGTGTTGATTTCTGGAATCTATCTGTTGTGTGCACCATTTTTTCTGACTGGCTCCTAGCACAGGGCCTTGTAGGGGAGGAGGAAAAAAAGTCTTTCCCTTCACCCTCTTAGGTGCTATGCCTGGAACCTGTGAATTAAACTAACAGAACACAGGGTAACAGGGTAAAGGTTTATTCTGCATGCATATGGGAACCCACGGAGGAAGCATCTGGCTCACCAGGTGATTAGAGTTAATGGCTTGTATACCTAATTTAGAAGGGGAAAGTGAAGAGGGAAAGAAAGTCTTCTTATAGGAAAAACAAATAGATTTTTTTTTTTGGAAGGACAAATAGATTTTCAGGAAAACAGACAGGAGATGGGAAAGTTTGTGATAATGTTTATCTACACAGGTATAAGTGGTCTTTAGATTTTATTCGGGGTCACAGACTCCCCCTGGAGAAGGGATCTGGAGTAGGCTTTGTGTTCTCCCTTCTGTGGGTAGATCCACCCCGAAGAGTTTACAGCAGCCTTATTTCCCAGTAGCTGCTGTTTTTAGCCAGAAAAGGGAAACTCTGAGAAGACTTAAAAAAAAAAAATCTGTTAAATGTCAAATATAATTTTCAGCGTAAAAGAATCTTTCTGCCAAACTGGCATCTTTTGGGGTGGTATATTCTGATCCCGTTCAACTGGAGAGAAACGTTTCCCCCTATTTATTTGTTTCGGGGTCTTACACTAAGTACAGGATCCACACCCTCGGTTGGTGTCTGTTCTGTTCTTGACCCCGAGTCCCCTGACAAGCTGAGAACGCAGTGCGGGGAGAGAATCCAGATGCTCGGAGAGAACCCCACGAGAGCACACAGTTCCGCACGGGGCTGCGCAGTCCCATTCTGGGCGGTGGTCTTTTCCAGAAACTGCCACAGCGCTCCGAGAGGCCAAGGTCCTCTGTTCATGGGAGCGGCCGGGTGTGGGCGTGGGAGGCCGAGGAAACCTCTCGGAGGTCATCCTACAAATGCTCCCCCCGGGGAAGTGAGGCTGCATTCCAGAGGGCTTCATCATCAGGGCTTCTTGCCTTTCAGGGAAGCACCTGCGCTTGGGGATGTGCAGGTGCCTGGCCCGGAGAAGGAACCGGCTGGGCCAGGCCCAGGCCTGCGCTGATGCCAGAGGGCGGCGAGGCTGTCCAGGCCTATGTCTGCAGCTGGGAAGGTCCCCCCCGCCCCCCGCCCCCCCCCCCCCCCCCCCCCCCGCTCGGCCAGACGACCACGGGCCAGGCCAGCGAGGCCCAGGCGGGGCTTGGCTCTGCGGGACCAGGCGAGAGGCCCAGAGGAGGAGCCAGGTGGAGGCTGGGGGAAGCGGTGGTGGCCCGGTGGCCCTGCCATTCTCAGCCCCACCGCCCTGCCCCGGCTGCTGTTTGGGCCTGGCTAATGATTAGCAGGAAAAAACCATCACTCCGGGCGCACACACCTTCCGGGAGCCAGGGGCCGGTGCAGGCAGAGGCCACCCCTGTGTTGATGGCCCGGCCTGTGACGTGCCACAGTCATTTCGCGAGGAACTTCCTGTTGACCGGTGACGTGGGTCGGGATTCTTGGGCGGCCACACAGGTTTGTGTCTGCGTCTGCGTGGGGCGAGACGGAGGACGGTGGGCCAGATGCCTCTGGGATCCCAGGACCTTCTCTGAAGCCCCGGGGTGGGGGCTGTCGTGCTGCAGGTGAGCCTGCTCGGGCCGCGGCCGGGCGTCTGTCCAGCGGGCTTGTCCCCAGGCACCTGTCTCGGGCGAGGGGCGGGCCGCCTGGCCGCAGGCCTCGAGCTGCTCTCCCAGGAGAAGCGGCTCGGGATCAGACACATACTCTTTGTTTCCCAACTCCCACAAAGTTAAACATTAAAAAAGGAGGCTGCTCTGGGAGTTGAGGAACTCAAGATGGTTTTTAGAGAGCCCCCTTTCACGGGGCGCTGCGCTCCAGGGTGCGGGGGAAGCCGAGACCCCGCTGGAGTTTGGGAGGTCAGGGTTGCAAGGCTGGAAAATCACCGTGGCCCCGTTGTTCATTCCGTGCACCTGCAAACGCCGTGTGTCCTCCCCTGTGGGAAGGAGAGCTGCTCCGAAGCCTCCGGAAGCCCTCCGAGGGCCCTGAGTCGGGCAGGCAGGGCAGCCCTTCTGGAGGTCGGGGTGCAGGGGCGGGTGTGTCCGAGGGGAGCTGTGCTGGTGCCCATTTATATCTGCGCACAGACGTTTGCAGGCAGCCCCTGGCATGGGTTTGGCTGCAGCTAATTCTCACCCACCCTGACACGCACTCGTCCTTCCTTTTGGGATTCGGCTTCGTGGTGCGGCCTGTAACAACGGGACGTTTGCAGGCGCCTTCGGATCTTAGGATATCACGCTATTTCCAGGAACCCAGAAATGTGCGTGTGAGTAATTAAGGGAGATGATCACATCAGCCATCTCCTTCCTGAGATCCCTCCTCCTGTTTTACCCTTGTAAGGAATTGGTTGGTGGTTAAATCCCATCTATTTAATACAATTTAATGAGGTGTAAGGTTTTAAGACTTTGCGGTTTTTGTACTAGAAGCAGGCACTTCCAGTCTCCAAGAACAAAATGAATGAGAAGTCAGTTCCATCTCAGGGATGGCCTCAGACCACTCTCCAGGGGTACTGACTTGCGAATTACCTGCCACAGGTCCTCATTTGATTAAAACAAAGGGTCTGATTTCAGTGAGAACCTGGAATCGGCTTTCTGACAGCTCTTTCCTGCGTGCACCCTTCACACCCGGCCCGGCACACGTGTGCGTTCGCAGCAATCCTGGCACGGGGCTCCTGTAGCTCTCGGGGTGCTCCTACCCCGTCCGCCCGGTGGGTTCCGCTGGGCTCTTTGGAAACCGAGTCCCTTCTCCTACGGAGAATAAGCCCGACGGCGGCACAACCGAGCCCGTCGTAAATGCGGCACTCTGGCCCCTGTCCCAGGCCTGACTCAGCTCGGTTAGCAGGATTCCCCAGGGGACCTCAAGCTATCCCCGCAGTTTCAATAGCGCTGGCTGCGCAATTGCCATTTATTGCTTTGGGGAGAAGGTGCAAGCTTCGGCTTCTCCTCCAGCCGCGGCCGGGGAGCAGCACGCTGGGCGCCCGGTGCAGGGCCTGGTCGGTCGAGCTGCTGAGTTGCGCTCGTCGAACCTTGAAATCAGTAAATGATTCATTCGGCGCTTCGTGGCTCGGGGTCTGGAACGGGGCTGGGAAGGAAGGCTGGGATTTCAGTTTGGTTCGTGTACGGCTGCTGAGGCCCGTTTGTGGGGGTCTCTGTGCCTGTTTTAGATTCCTGCAGGGCTGACCCCCCACCCTGCTGAAGACCCCCGCGCCGGGCAGGGGGATGCAGCACACATATTGTGAACCTTACCTTATGCACATGAGTGGCTACAGTTTTGCACACATGCTGCGTTTTGCTTTCCTGGCACATCAGAGAAACAAAGGGGTGGGAAGCCCGTGTTCCTCCTCACGAGCTCTGAACACCCAGTATCTCACCTGAATGGGAAACGGGCTACAGGCCCGAGCATTTTCCCGATGCTTCACACCGTCACTCAGTTTTATTCGGCCACCGGGATGCTGTGTGCTCCGCAGACCAGACCGAGGTGTGGCGGTTATTATCGGTGCCCGCTTCACGTCTTGTGTTTCCGCGTGTGTTGCCGTGGGGTCCGCCTCTTTCTGCCTGAACGAGGAGAAAGGAGAATGAAGCCCCGCGCAGGTGCCAGCTCGTTATAAAATCCCAGGGTGGGGGTGGGGGTGGGGGGCGGTCTCTGGTGGAACCGCGGCCCCACATCTTGGAGGGTCCGGGTGGCTCCCTCCCCACAGGCTGATGGGGCTGGGACATCTGTGCGGATGCCAAAGCCACAGAAAACCATCCCCTGGTTAGGGCGTGTGTTCCACACGGCGGTGGTGAAGCACATGTGAAAGAAAAAGAGCCTTTTTCTGAGGCTAAAGGGCTGTCATTTTCGTGGCCAGTTCCTGGCATGGCCAGTGGGTGACTTTCCGTGACGGCATCGCATAGGTCAGGCGCGGGGAGAAGGGGAAAATAAAGACAACATGCGGGGCTGGAAGGTGAGCAAGAGGCTTATCCAAGAACAAGGGATTGGCAGGAAGGGGCAAGACGTGTACAGGACAGGACCCCTGCCAGGGGGCCAGCAAGGCTTTACTGCATCTACCCTGACCTCCCCTAGCTCTGACCCGTGCTGCTCTCCCTCGCCCTGCCCTAGCTGCGGAGCCCTCTCAATCGCATTAGCACGGTCCCACCCCAGGGCCTTTGCACCTGCTGCTCCTCTGCAGATACCTATGCGGCTGCCCACCCCCCTCCTCCACTGTTCACAGAGCACCTTCTTAGGAGCCTCTCTCTGACTTCCCTAGAGGTAGTCATAGCCAGCCCACTCCACACGCACAACCACTTGCACATGCGCTTCTGTTCTACGTTCCTCCGTACATTTGGCAACTTCTAATAAGCTTATGTTCTAGTTCTTCATTTTATCGCCCGTTTTCCCTTTTGATCATGTGAACCTGTTGAGGGCAGGATTTATTTTTTTTCCTCTGATGAAAACACCACGTTTGAAAGGGTGAGCAGTAGGGTGAGGGCTTCCGCGGAAACATGCCATCTGCAGTCCATGATTTACGTATGGGCTTGGGAGTAAGATCATTTAATACAGCGATTCTCGATCTTGAGCACGTGCCAGAAGTGGCTCATTATTTTATTGCTTAGACAGATTTCTGGGCTCGTCCCTGGATTTTCTGATCCAGTGTTTGGGGGAGGGAGCCTGGTGCTGCTGACCCACGCTGAGCGGCTCTGACTAATCCATCCACAGGCACCCACGGGCTGGTAGGGGCCCCGCGTCCTCTGAACGGCGAATGCTCGTCATGATAGGCTGTTACCTGCCTGCTTTATTTTCCCAGGACTGAAGGAAACGTGTGGAGATGGACAGTAGCTGGAAAGGCATCCCGGCCGTGCTGGTCGTCCTGGCTGGGCTGGCAGGTAGGGCTCCCGCGAGCTTGGTGGAACGAGCCTGGGCATCTGCTTGAAGTGGGCAGAAGGGAGCCCAGCAAGGTGGCCTGGACATGTGGCTGCCAGAAGCTTCTTCCTCGGGCCCTTCTCACAGCGGAGTCTCCTCTACGGGGCCCATTTCCTGTTCTGCTGAGTGGTGGGGGTGGCCCTGCCTGTGCCCTTCATGTGCCTGTGGCCCACCATTCCTGTTCCTTGGTTTGTCCCTGTTGTGGGCATTTGCCGCCCCCCCCCATCTTTCCCTATAACTCATGGCTCTTGTTGAAATGTCCCAGCATCTGCCCAGTTTTCTCTTCTTCTGTTTATATCCGGCCTTCAAGGACGGCCCGATCCTGGCATCACTGCCTCCCTGAAGCCCTCCTGACCTGGCAGTTTTCAGGGTCATAATCCCAACTCCCATTTATTGACAGGGACAGGTCCACTGCCTGTGAGGCCTGCCATTCCTCCCATCAGCTTCTCCTTGTCCCTCATCTCCCCCCAGGGTGCCAGTCGGAATGGACTCCAGGGTGTCCAAGGCCAGGGTCTCCGGATCAGACTCTGCTTTGTAGGAGATGGAGCGAGCAGATGGCGGGGTCCTTGGGGCGGCCAGAGTTGGCTTCCCCAGATTACGTCTTGTCTACATTTCTTTGCTTCAGGTGTATTTATCTTGTTTTCCCAACTAGGCTTTATTTTTTTTTAATTTTTTATTTTTTAAAGATTTTATTTATTCACGAGAGACAGACAGAGAGAGAGAGAGAGAGAGAGGCACAAACACAGGCAGAGGGAGAAGCAGGCTCCATGTAGGGAGCCCGATGTGGGACTTGATCCCGGGTCTCCAGGATCACCCCCTGGGCCGAAGGCGGTGCTAAACCGCTGCGCCACCCGGGCTGCCCCCAACTAGGCTTTAAACCCTAGGGGGTACCCGTCCTGTATTCCTCATGCAGCAATTTTTAAGGCACTGCACTGAAGCATAACGAACATATAGAGAAGTGCACAAGTCATAGAGGTAGAGCTTGATGAATTTTCACAGACGGAACACCTTCGTGTATCAACAGTGAGACCAAACACCTTCTGCAAATGCCCCCTTTTGGTCACCCTGATATCCTCTCCCCCAATATTCAATATTTTTCGAGAAACTAAAAAGGCAAAACAAAAAAAAAATAGGATAGGGACTATCAGAGTGTGTTATGGGCTGTAAGGACTGTTCTGTAAGTTTTGGTTGGGGTACACATGGCCACAGTAAGCCCAGGGGCCCAGGCTGTGGTGTGAACATGTATTTTGGGGGCAAAGATATTCGAAAAGCCCGGCTTATGGCACGTGCAGCGAGAGGTGTTTAGCAGGTTGCTGCATAAACGTTTGTGTGCAGAGTGGACAGCGAAACACCGTCCCTGCTCGTGGAGCGTAAGGACTTGTCGTGGGGTTAGCAGGCCACGCTCAGCACACATTTTAGGGGCAAGGCTCCAACGCGGCTATTTCGGCCACAGTGGCAAAAAGTCTCCTATCAGCTCACTGGGAAAGGGATGTGCTGTGGGGCCTACCATTTTCCTGAGATGTTTTTCCTGAAGCTCTGTTTTGAATGAAGGGATGGCTCTGGTTGAGGCCTGGGGATGGCTGTTCCAGGAGGGGAGAGGGTTACGGGCTGCTTCCAATGCCCCCCCGGGAGATGGGGTCCATCACAAAAGCCTGGGCCCCTGAATGTTTCATCTTGGAAAGTCTTGGGGGCAGGGACTCCTTCATTTGTAGTCTTGGCTTTGAATTAGCTGTGAGCAACCTTCATGCGCATCCAAAGGGTCCCTGCCAGCTCTCTCCTCTCCACCTTGTCCCCAGGTAATGGTTTATTTAGAATCCAACACCCTTATTTATTTACTCAGTGAGTATTTCATGTAGGACCTATTATGTGCTATTTAGTTGCAGGCACTGGGATGTGGTGATGGGCAAAGCCAGGCATAGTCCCTACTAACAAAGAGCTTAGAGCCTAGCTGGGGAATCAAGTGTTAATTGAAAAATCAGTATAAAATCACTATTGTGACGATTGCTTCGATGCCTGAAAGCCTGTTATAGGATAATAGGATAATTCAACCTAAAGTGGAAGTCTGGGGAGGCTTCCTCGGGGAGGAGACAATAAGACTGGGAGCTGAGGAGGGAGACTGGCGTGCCAGGCTGATCACTGCCTGTGCAAAGGCCCTGGGGCCAGAAAGAGTTGATGAGTTGGGTAAATTTAGGAATAGCCTGGTAACTGGAGGGTGGAGTTTGGGGCAAAAGGAGGTTGATGCGATACTAAGTAGGGTTCTAAGATGTGATAATGTTAAGGGCTATCTGGTCTTTATCCCAAACGGATGTGTTTAAAATATTTAAACAAAGACTGAGTGTGGGGGTGGGAGGTATCTGCTCACACCGGTTTGCTGAGAAGGTCCCGCTGGCTGGCGGCCGTGTGGATCGCAGTTCCGGGTGGTGGTTGGCACAGGGGTGATGCTGGGGCCTCCTGCCATCATCAGTGGGACCTGCAGGGGCCTCAGGACCCCTCCCTCCCTTCTCAGTTTGCTTCTGATAGTCCCAACCCCTGACGTGTTCCGATTCCCGTTTTCTTCCTCAGAGTGGCCACACCAAACCATTTCTCTGCTGCCAAACCCATTGCACTTCCCTTTCTCCCTTCTGCTTTTCACGGTCTGCCTATTTCTTTCCTGTGCTAAGTGAGAGATGGGGGAAGGTGAGAGTTGCGCAGGTGCAGCGAGAGTGGCCGGAGGAGAGTGTCTAACCCCCTGCCAAGGGGGACAGCCAGCTGCTACTCCAGGGAGCTGAGAAAGAACCTCGGTAGAGGGGTGACAGGGTCTGCCTTTGGGATCAATTTATGGACGGCTCACAGGAGGCCCAGGAGCAGGCAGAGGAGCGACTATCTGAGTGATCCCCATTTTGCAGACGAGAGGGTGCAGCGAGTCGAAGAGATGCTTTTCAGTCCCAGCTGCAGCCAGTGGTTCACGGAGATGCCTGGCGGGCTGGGATCCTAGGCAGGGGAGGAAGCGAGAGGGTGGCGCGGGACCCTGAGTTGGGTGGCCACCACAGCCGGCCGCCGGGGGACACTGGGCGGGGCACGCTGATCTTTCCCGTGGCTCTGCCCCGATTGGCCTGTTTGCTCTGCAGAGTGAAAGGGGCAGCAGAGGGAAAGGGAGGATTTGTGTTTGATGAAAGGTCTTATTTACCATTTTCTCCTATTTGCTCTGTGCAGGGCAGGGTTGCACACACCGCAGCAGATAGGATTGAGGGAGAGGAAGGAGGCCCCGGGACCTCACACTATCAGGATACAGCTTCTGAGTCACGAGGCAGGGCTGAAGGCCAGTTGACTCATGGTGGGAGCCGAGACCGCAGGTGATGCTGTCAGGGGAGCAGAGGGCTCGGGACGGGGTGCCTCCCGTTTGATGCAGGGGTCAGCTTCAAATGCAAAGAGCTCCCACTTGGCCTCCCGCTGCCTCATCTCCCACCTGTAAGGTAGGGTGTGTGCTCTGCATGTCTTCTTGGTCACACGTGCAGTCTGCTGGCTTGGGGCAAACAGGGCCTGCAGCAAGAGGCTCTCCCCACCTTGCACCAGGGTTTTGGGTGGGTTTGCGTGTCCTGCAGGAACTGTCCAGATGGGGCTCCCGGCAGAGAAGCCTGGGTCTCAGCCATCCCGGCACTGGCCACATCCCCGCCGCTGGGCTCCGTCCACGGGACCCCCACCGAGCTGCACCCCGAGTGGAGGCAGAGCGCTCTCGGGACCCTGCCGTGGGGAGAGCCGTCTCTCCTCGGGGTGGAGATTTGGCTATTTCTCTTCTTTTGTCCTTCCTCATAAGATGCAATTTGGGGCTCGTGGAAAGAGCCAAGTTGGCACAGCGGCTGTGGCTTCCCTGGGGAATCATTTCTGACTTCCCTCCTCAGGCCTCTTTTTTTTTCTTTTTCTAAAATCCCAAATCAGAGGGATCCTTGGATCAGAAAGACTTGTCCAGGGATAAGGGAAGATTCCCAGTAGGAGCCTCACTGTCCCTCTTTTCCTGCCATGCCCAGACACAGGAGTAGTCTTAGCTGTTTCTGACTTTTCCCCAGTCCTGCCTCCTTGACCCAGGCCCTGGCTGCCTCTCCCCTGCTTCTGCTGCCTCCGGGGCACTGTCCAGGCAGCAGTTCCTCATTTCCCATCAGCCTGCCTCTGTGGCAGACAGTGCGTTCTGGGTACTCAGGTGGCGTGTTAGTGCGTGACCACGGTGTGGTCTCTCCCCAGAAAACTTTAGGGCTGTAATGAGATTCCTTTGGGACCTGTCTTACAAGTTGACCTCATAAGGTTGGAAGGAGAGGGGGCTGCGGTGATTTGGGGGCATCAGTGCATATGGCAGGCTACCTCCTGGTGACCTGTTGGAGTCATAAGGCTCCAGAAGGTAAGAGGAGCCTGTTGTAGTCTTATCAACACGGGAAGCAGGGCTGAGGAGAAACCATGGGATGTGGTCCACCAGGAGGTCTTTTTGCTATCAACTGAGTGAAATCAGAGGGGAAAGTAGGAAAAAGTGGGAAGGTCTGAGTTTGGGTCCCAGCTCACCACTGTGATCTCAGGTCCTGGGGCTCTTCTGCTTTTCATTTCTTCATCGTTAGACAAGAGGCGGTAAAAAATGAGCATAAGAGATTTTGAAGACCATCCTTTGCTGTGCAAGTTCTATTTTGGATCATTATTACAAATGTGGGAAGGTCTTGAAAACTTCGGCCGGCAATTGGCTCCTCTAAGATGACTAGAACATCAGTCCTACATGGCCAACAGATTCCTTGGGCTCTTCGGGTGTAGAGCATGCTCCACCTCAGGTGATCATGATCATGATCAGGTGAGTTCGCGTGAGCTGGAGAGGCCCTTGAGGTATATCATGTGGAAGACCAGTCAGAAGGTGTCACTCCAGTTAAAACCAGTGTCAGGGTGCATCTGGTGAGTGGAGGGTTGAAAAGTTGTGAGAAGTGTGAAGGAAACAGTTTTACTTAAGTCTGTGGCATTCTTGGCTTGTTTTATAAATCAACGGATCCCATCTTGCAGGTCAACACAATCCCTTCCTTTTTTTTAATGATTTATCAATTTACTGTTTTTATTTTTATTTATATATTTTTATAGAAGTTCAATTTGCCAACATATAGTATAACACCCAGTGCTCATCCCATTCTTCTCAAGTGCACATAGAATTTTCTCCAGAATAGACCACATACTGGGTCACAAGTCAGGTCTCAACCGATACCAAAAGATTGGGATTGTCCCCTGCGTATCTTCAGACAACAATGCTTTGAAACTAGAGCTCAATCACAAGAAGAAATTTGGAAGAAACTCAAAAACACAGTCCCTTCTTGCACATCACATAGTGGGGAATGTTTACTGCGTGCTTGAGGGTCATGTGAAGGGCTCTCTGTGGATTATCATATCTGGTTTTTGAAACAAATCGCGGTGGTACTAGAGTCCCTGTTTTGCAGCTGAGAGGAGTGGGGCATGGAGAAGTTGAGACAATGTGTCTAATGAGCCAGGAGCCTCACCTGAGAGTCCCTGGCCTTAGGCTTGTGAGCCACCTGCGTGTCTGCTGGAGCTTTAAACCCAGCACTAGATGTGGTGAGACTTGCACCAAGCTGCCTTCCAGAAGCATCACTTGATGGTTCTCATGAAGAGAGTCTGCTCTCCTACCTCCTTCTACCTGTTTTCCCCTCTCTTTATATCTCCCACTCATGTCCCTTCTTGTCCTTAAGAGGAGAGGCATGGGCTCAATGACAGTACAGTTCTCATGATACTTGGCAGCTGACTTTCCTATCACTCCATGACCGCGTACTCAGAATACAACTGTTGTCTCTCTCCAGCTGGATTCCTTCTCTCTCAACCTTGTTTATCCACCAGCCCCAGACATTGTCCTAAGTATTCCATTTGGGGGCTCTAACGGTGCAGGGGCGTGCGGTGGGCTGTGATCACTGTATGCTGGTATCCGTCCCCATTCTCTTTGTGAAGAGAAGCTACTTTCCACCTTTGCCTCTGAGCCTTGGGATTTCCGTACAGGTGGGAATCAAAGATCCTTCTCATTTTACTGGGAAAATAACTCTCATGTCATAGTGAGGGTGAAAAATTGCCTTAAATAACACAGCTGGGTTAGGGGAGTGCTCTCAGGGCCAGGCTGGGATCAAGTATTCAAGGTAACATTCTTCTGGAGATAGAAGAACAGCATTTTTTTTTTCTTTTGGCCCCCAATTTTGCCGGGAGTGCTGAGAACTGTGGAAGGAGGGATTGGACATGAGGGATGGGTGGCTTCCTGTCCACTGGGGATGCAAGGTGAGGGATTAAGAAGACATAGAGTCTGATCCCTGGCTATCCAGAGGTCACAGCTGGTGAACACAGAAGAGTTAAACTGTGTGGTTGACTCATGTAGGTCCATTCACTTACTGCCTTGAAAAACTGGTTGCCTTCCAGCTTCTGGATCCAGCTATCAAATCATAGAAGGTCCCAAGAATGCAACGGTGCTGAAGGGCTCGGAGGCTCGCTTCAACTGCACCGTCTCACAGGGCTGGAGGCTCATCATGTGGTCTCTGAATGGCACGGTGGTGCTGAGCATCACTCCCACGGAGCCCATCATCACCAACGACCGCTTTACCTCTGCCAGCTATGAAGAGGGCGGCAACTCCATCTCGGAGATGATAATCCATGACGTTCAGCTCGGTGACGCGGGGATTATTAAGTGCAGCCTCCAGAACAGTGACCGGGATGCCTCTGCTTTCCTTTCTGTCCAAGGTGGGTACACAGGTGCCTCTGAGGGGAGCAAGTGGAGTCCTCTGGGCAAGACCAGAGCAAAGGAAGGACCCTTCAGAGTTCATGTCATGTGTGACGATGGGTCTGCCCTCAACTGGAGCTATTAGAATTATTCCAAACCAACGAATATCTGCTGTTTTGCTATTTGTGACTTCTCACCCCCCTTCCTCATTGGTTCTCTTCCTACTTCCCTTCTTTCTGCTTCTCCTATCTCTCTTCCCCTTTCCCTTTTCTCTTTTTAAAATTTCTTTAAAAAAGATTTTATTTATTTATTTATTTATTTATTTATTTATTTATTTATTTATTTATTTATTAGAGACATACAGAGAGAGAGGCAGAGACACAGGCAGAGGGAGAAGCAGGCTCCATGCAGGGAGCCCGACTTGGGACTCGATCCCCAGTCTCCAGGATCAGGACCTGGACTGAAGGCAGCGCTAAACCTCTGAGCCACCCGGGCTGCCCTCTCACTAAAATTCTTCAAGACAGGTCTTACAACTTTCCCATCTGGTCCATGTCAGTACTGGTAGCTTTTGTGGCATATACTCCACATTCTCCCCTGGCCAGTTGCGGTCACTGCTCTTTGATTTAGGGAGAGTTGCCAATCTTTGCCTTTCCTCTGGTTTTTTTATACACTTGACCCTGTTTCTTTGCCTTACGTCATGTATGCACTTTGAATCATGCTTTACCCTTTACCTCTTTCCAGCTGAACTCCCTCAATCTTTTTTTTTCCTCTTCTGCCCTCAGCTGTTCTTAGAGTCAAAGATATGTGTTCACTAAATATACCACCTATTTTAGAGAAAAGAGTAAATGAAATTTGTCATAATGGGTAACTTATTTTTCATTATTAGAGGTAATTGTGAAGTGCTCCCAAAATGCTATATAGTGAAAAAAAATAAAAGGATGCTTTACAAGAATTCAGAATATCTTTATCAAAGTTTAATCACTTTGCATTCCTTATGTAATTATATGGTATTTATAGATGCATTGGAGCTGATTTCTATGGCAGCATTCCTTACAGCAGACCACGTCATGTTTTTGAAATTTTTCTTTTATCTATTTATTTGCTTGTCTAGGAGAAATTTCCAAACTTTTGATTTGTGTTAATGTTGCATCAAATCTAGCTTGATAACATTTGGTAGACATGCATATCTACTTACTTCTACTTTCTTCTTCTTCTTCTTCTTCTTCTTCTTCTTCTTCTTCTTCTTCTTCTTTTCTTAGCCAAATTGTTGTCATTTTACTCTTACGTGTCTTTAATTTTATGAGGTTTAATGATATTTTCTAAATAGTGATTTTATGAGACTTCCTGGATTATTGGCTTAGTTTGCATGACTAGATTCTTATTTTAATAATTTGTGGTATATGGGAAAGAACACAGGAAAAATAGAGTCAAAGACATGAGTTCTGGTTTTGCTTTCATCGGTTACCAACCTGGTGACACCCAAATTGTCTCAACGTCTTCATCTCTAAAATGGGGATAAGGGTCCCCTGCCCACCTCACGGGTTTTCTGTGAGGATCAGATGAAACAATAACTGAGGACAGTTTGAAGACTCCAAAGTCCTGTCTGTTTCAATTCATCACACATGCAATTGGGAGCCAGAGTGGTCTAGTGGTTCATGATGCAGGCTTGGGAGCCTGAATGCTAGGTTCAGATTCCGGCTTTATCACTTACTGTGTATGTGACCTTGGCCATGTTATTGAATGACCTCATGCCCTAGTTTCCTCTCAGAGGGTTACTGTGGGATCACATGAGTAGGTTCATGTAAAGCCTTTAAAACAGCACCTGGGTCCTAGCAGTCTCCATACAGCCAATTGCTATTATTTATTGCATTCCTAATAGAAGCACACCTTTGTGTCAGGCATCTGAAAGGGGGACTCAATGATGAATAGAATAAGACAGAGTCCTGTCCTCAAGAGCCTTACATGAAGAGTAGATAATGCATGAATGATGTTCATGCCTTAGAGAGACTGGCAAATACCCTGAGATGGAGACAAGCTCAGGTTTGACTTGGGAAGGGAGAAGGGACAATGAGAAAAGCCTTCATGGACAACTCCATGGTGAGATGCCCTTATGTGCTCTCAAGGTCTGGGAATGATAGGCAAAATGGAGAAACAAGAAAGGAAGAGGGACCCCTGGATCAAAGAAACAGATTCAAAGGCATGACTTACTGATATGTCTATAACATTTCAAATTCATAAACCCATGTGGTTTTATAGCAGCTTTTCTCAAAGCTATACATTTATAAAAATGTCTGAATATGCCTAAACATGCTTTTTAATATGTTAATAATTACTATAACTTTTGGTTTTAATATGGATGGAAGAATAAGCATCTAGAGATGTTAAATTCTTTCCCAAGGTCATGCAGAACGAACCCATAGGGCAGGGACTAAACTTGGTCATATTACCAGGTTGCAATGGTCTGAAGGGCACTTTGTTCCTAGAGGAACAAATGTTCTCTAAGCAGCAGGATCTCTTTCAAGGGAAAAGAATTTTGAAAAAAAGAGGAAACATTCATTTTATTTTTAAAGTGAATTATCCAAAGATTTATTTTTTCCTCCTGGTGTATCAGCAAGAAAAATAAAGACAGCTTACATAAGTCCCATAGTGAGTCATCCAAAATCTATGTGAATGTTCTAGTCATCACCCTTGTATAGAGTGTTTGTCGTGCTACTCAACAAGATTTGTGAAAGCCAATGTGAAAAGTTGAAGCATAAATATATATAGAGAAAGGAAATGCTTCAGACTGCTTCACTAGTCCATCCATCATCCAATCTACCAATGAATCACGTACCAAACTCTAGACCTCTTGTGTTTGTGGGCCACTAGACTTGAGTTCAAGATCATCCATTATTAATTGAGGCAATTCCATTACTTCCAGTTTCTATCATCTGAAAGCCCTGCACCAAAATGAAACAATGGATGGAGAAAAAGGAATAAGGACAAAACCCTTTAGCTTTGAGGGACAAATCCATTCCCCTCTCATTGTTGAGTTTACAATAATCCTTGCTTTAGCAAAGGTACTTTATTTATTCCAAGAGACTACTGAGGAAAGGAATAATTGAGAATGTAATATTTCAGAGAAAGAAGAGCTTTCAGAGCTGATCCAGTTCCATCTAGTTTGAGAACTCTTGGGCATCCCCTAGATCCTTTCAGAGTCTGTGAGGTCACAACTGTTCCCATAATAATACTAAGAAGTGAGTTGCCTTTCCTACTCTCATTTCAGTAGTGCACAGAGAGTCTTCTACTGTATATTAGGAAGGTCTGTGTAGCTTAGTGGACCTGCATTTCTTAAATGACCAATGTATGATGATACAAAGTCTTGCAAGAGTGAAAGATCAATCAAAGATAGAGTGATGGATTTTAATGTAAAAGAGAATGAAAATTCCTTTATATACTTTCAGTTTCCACAGTGCAACTAACCTATAAGAAACCACTACTTGCCCAGTTTGGGATATCAAAGAGTATCCTTGATTATCTGAAAAGCCTTCTCATTCTTCCACCTGCATACCCATGCGGGGTCAAATTTTTTTGTATACTCCAAATTGAAGCAATATATTGTAACAGATTGAATGCAGAAGCTGATATGAGAATCCAGCCAGGTATTAAAGAGATTTGCATAATTATAAAGCAATGATGTTTTTCTTGATAATTTATTTTGGTTTAAAAATATAGGTATTTTCTCATAAACATATGTTAACTTGTAGTGGGTTATCATTGTTATTATAAAATAAATATTTAAAAATAGACAAATACTTAATTCTAATTTCAAGTTTGGTAAGTATTGGTAGGTAGAATCCACATAAACAAAAGGTCTTTGGAGTCCTCATGATTTTTAAGATTGTAAAAGGTCTTGAAACCTAAACATTTGAAAACCCCAATTTAGTCAAATTGTTTCATTTGACCAATGAAAAACAGAGAGCCTGAAAATGTCAATGACTTGCTCCAGGTGATGGCAATTTTTGTAGGAAATCCAAGATTGAGAACAGAGTTTTTGATTCTTAGTCCAGTGTTCTTCCCATTATATTATGCAGCAGGGAGGATATTTTAACTTGGATGTTCCAACGTTTATATGTTTCACTAAGGCTATGTCTTTATTGGAGCCAATCCTCAGGTTATTTTATTAATATTAGCAGACACAAGCAGTATTTTCATATGGGTTTTTTACAATGTTCATACTGGCATATGCAGGTGGGTCCTTAATAAAAACTTTAAAATAATTTATCTGAGTATTCTATTCTGATACATGATTTAGGGCAAATATTTTTATAATTAGATTTTATTTTGATTTAATTTATAATTGGAAAAGCATTTTAAGGAAATATCATAGGAAGTTATGTTTAAAAATATGTGACCCACAAAATAAATAAAATGAATTGGACTGACCAAACGCCAGGAAAGACTTGCTTTCCAGAAGACCTTGAGATGTCTTCTTACAATGGAAAGAATGTAAAGGTTTTTCCCTTTTTGCTTTGGCTCCCAGAACAGCCCAGGACAACTTTGCAACTCCACTTCAGTGGTTGTGTAGCCTATTATGGCAGGCGCATTTACCCTCTCCTTCCCATATAATTTATACCTTCCTGGACCCTGATTTTTATTTATTCATTTTTTTTCTGGAACTATAGATTTTCTGGTGAGCAACCTCACCTTCTTTCAGGAAGCTGGCAGATAAAATAAATAATGACACAGATAAAACCTGAGTTAAGACTCGATATAGACATAGCCAGTTAGCACTCATGAAATGTGATTTGAAGGAAAAATTAAAGAAAATTTGGAACCAAGAGATGCATGGTCAGTCCTTCAGAACATTTCTCTTTTCTTCTTTAGTTATGGGGGAGTTGCTCATTCCCAGAGGCAACCTTGTAGTCACTGAAGATGAATCCTGTAATGTGACTTGCCATGCATTGGGCTGGATCCCACTCCCAAATATTTCCTGGGAGATTGGGGTTCTGGTGAGCCAGTCAAGCCATTATTCTGGTCCGGAGCCCAACAACCTGCAAAGTGCAGTGAGTGTCCTGACTCTTACGCCTCAGGGCAATGGGACTTTGACTTGTGTGGCTAACATGAAGGAGTTGCTTGCCCACAAGTCTGTAACTGTCAATCTTACTGTGGTTCAGCCTTCTATGGGTAAGTGAAGACATTTTGCTTTATATATATAAAAAAATATTGTTGCATGCTTATATTTTTTATGCGGTGCTCTTAATCAAGAATGCCTAGGAAAATTGTATGGTGACCTTTACTTTGGATGGGGATGGTAATGGAGACAAATTAGCATCTGTTTAATGACCCTGTGATTCCACTTTCTTTTACATTTCATCTTCAAGTGTCTTTCTTATCTACTTCCTTATGGAAACCATTAAGAACCTTGACAATTATTTATCTCAAAACACCATCAAGATCAGTGATAAATACCTGAAGTCAATGTTTCTCTGTAGCTTTTATCTGTTGTTCCAGTTTGATCCCATACCCTGGGCCAGTATGAGACAAGTTCTTCTAATATTTGAGGAAGGTATACAGGTGCTCTTGGATTTCTTCCAACCTTAGTAGAATTATAGTTTCATTTTTTTAATCTGGCAAATCCACAATGTATTTGAAAGTACCTAACTAAGTGACATAAATAATATGAAGTCGGAGAGGGAGATAAACCATAAGAGACTCTTAACTCTGGGAAACAGTCTGAAAGTTGCTGGAAGGTGGGGGAGGGGTAACTGGGTGATGGGCATTAAGGAGGGCACTTGATATGATGAGTACTGGGTGTTATATGAAACTGATGAATCACTGAACTCTATCTCTGAAACTAATAATACACTGTATGTCAATTAATTGATTTTAAATAAAAAAATAAAGTTTTGATCCCCAAGAGAACCTACTGTAGGGTCCTTGGCATATTCAAACCTCAAACTACACAACCTGCAGGGCTGCAGAGCCTACTTAAGCTCTGAGTCAGCCCAGGCCAATGAGAAAACATGGGGCCCAGAGCTAGAGATTGACTAACTCCTTAATTTTACAAACTAGGACAGAAAAGGAGGCCCAGAGAGGTGCTGTGCTCTATTCCAGGACATGCATCAGGTTGGGGTGGAACTGGGCCCAGAAGTCAAGAAATGATTCTCTCTTGAACAAAAATTTTCCCTTTATTCAAACAGCTTTATTTAAAGTTCAGAACAGGGGCACCTGGGTGGCCCAGCTGGTTAAGCACCTGCCTTCGACTCAGGTCATGATCCCAGGGCCCTGGTATTAAGCTCCAGGTTGGGCTCCCTGCTCAGTGAGGTGTCTGCTTCTCCCTCTTCCTCTGCCTCTCACTCTGCTTGTGCTCTGTCTCTGTCAAATAAATAAAAAGTCTTAAAAATAATAAATTTCAGAACAAAACTGCAGCCAGAGCAAGACTGATGAGGAGGAAGGAAGAGGTGGCAAAGGAGGAAGAGGAGAAAGCTGAAGGAGGAGGAGGGGGGAGGGAGATGGAGTAGAGGAAGAAACAGTGCTTCACAGAATTTGCCAAGTAAAGGGTCTATTTTAAGTGCTTCTCTGATATTAACCAAATTAATGTGCACAACAGGTCCCTGAGTGGATCCTCATCCAACTGGATGTCTGAGATCAAGATGTTGGTAGAGTTGGTTCCTTCAGAAGACTATAGGGGAAAAATCTCTAGGCCTCTCTCTTAGCTTCTGGTATTTGCTGGCAGTCTGGTGTTTCTCGGCTTGTAGAAGCATCAGCCTGAGCTCTGTTTTCATCTTCATATGGTGCTCTCTCTGCATGCTTGCCTGTATCCAAATTTCCCTATTTATTTATTTTAAAGATTTTATTTATTTGACAGAGTGAGAGAGCATGAGCAGGGGGAAGGACAGAAGGAGAGGGAGCAGGGAGCCCCATGTGGAACTCAATCCCAGAACCCTCAGATCATGACTTGAGCCGAAGGCAGACGCTTAACTGACTGAGCCACCCAGGCATCCCCAAATTTCCCTTTTTTTAAAACTAAGGACTCAGGTCATATTGGATTAGAGGGTCCATCCCATCCAGTGTAAACTCATTTTAATAAAATTATGTCTGCAATACTTTATTTCCAAATAAAGTCACATTCATTCTGGGAGTACTGGAGGTTAGTACTTTAATGTATGAATTTTAGGGGGGGGCAAAAGTCAACCCATGATAATGTCTCCACCAGCCTGTAAAAAGCCATTCAGAGTCTACCTTGTGGTCAGTACAATGATTCTGTGCTTTGCACTGTAGTGATTGGTCCTCAGTGCAGTTAGCACAAGCTTGCTCCCCTGTTGTTAGGATTTTGCCTCCTGTCTCTGACTCAGATGCCCCCAGAGAACAGGTGGACAACAGAAATGAAAGCATGAGTGAATACATGTGTCAGGTAGGAGGGGAGTGGAGGGGCCCATTGGGAGCCAGACATAATGCTCCATCCACATGGAACAGCCATACCAGCAACCAGCTGGTTGTTGCCAACAGGAAAGGGGATCCAGGACTGCCAGATCTTTGATGTGGATCTGGTGAATATCAATACTTTTGAGGGCGAAGGACACAGAAATCTGTATTTCTTTGGTTTTAAGTCAAGATCAATTTATTTCAACTAATTAAATTTGGAGGAATTCAGCTTATTCTCTATTAAGACTATATAAGAATAAAAAGCTAGAATTCAAACCCAGCTTACTTTTCTTGCCTCCAGTTTATTATTATTATTATTATTATCATTATTATTTAAAGATTTTATTTGAGAGAGAGAGAGAACACAAGCAGGGGGGAGCGGTGGAGGAGGAAGGAGAAGCAGACTCCCCACTGAGCAGGGAGCCCGATGTGGAGTTTGATCCCAGGACCCCAGGATCATGACCTGACCTGAAGTCAGACACTTAACCAGCTGAACCACAAAGGCACCCCTCCAGTTTATTATTTTTAACAACAAAAACCTTTAGAAAAGTTGCAAGACAAGTGCAATGAATATCCATGTACCTTTGCCTAGATACAACAAATATTAATATTTTGTCATGTTTGCCTCTTTCTCTCTCATTTTTTTTCTGAACCTTTTGAGAGTTTATGACACTTTATCCCTAAATATCTCCGATATGTATCATAAGAATGAAGGCATTCTATTTAACCACACCCAACGTAGTTGGCAGTCAGGAAACGTACTGCTGACACAAGACTGTTATATAATATACACTGCATATTCAAGTTTCACCAAGTATCCTTTATAGCGGTTTTCTTCTCCAAACCAGTATTCAGTCAAAGGCCATGCCTTGCCTTTGGCTGTCAGGCATTGTAGTCTCTTTCCCTTACTCTTGAATGGTTCCCTTACCTTTTCTGTCTTTGCTGATTATAAACATTTTTGAAGGGTCCAGGCCATTTTTGCAAGATGCTCTTCAATTTGGATTTGTCTGAGGTTTTCCAACATCCTTTGATTTGAGGCTGTCTATTCTAGGCAAGTCAAGGGTAATGTCACATGGGCTCATGATGTCAATTTTCTCTATCAATGGTAATAAGTTTGATCATCTGGTTAATGATTTCTCCATTGTAAAGGTCCCTTTCTCCATTATAATTAATATGTAATCAATGAATACTGTATGAATATCTTATTTCCCAGCGGGCTTTCACCTAATAGCTTTTGCGTTCATCAATAAGTCATTGCCTGAATCTGTTGTTTCTATGGCGGTTGTAAAAGAATGATTTTTCTGGCTCCATCATAATTTTATCTTTGTTAGTTGGTAGTCTTCTGTAAAGAAGAGCCTTCTTTCACTTTTTCTTTTTTTTAAAAACAATTCTAATATGAACTCACTTTTATTCAATACTATAATCTGCTCCTGTCATTATTCATTTTGCTGCTCCAGATTGCTCCAGGTTTGGCTAGTGGGAATCCCTTCCAGCTGGCTCTGGTGTCCTTTTGACATGGCCCTATTAATTTTTGAGCACTTGGCCCAATAAAATGTTCTGAACTCGCTTTGCATTTTCCTTATTCTATCCTGGAATCAGCCATTTCTCCAAGGAGCCAATCCAGCTGGCTTTGAAGCTATTTAAGTATGATAAAGGGGGATCCCTGGGTGGCTCAGCAGTTTAGCACCTGCCTTCGGCCCAGGGCGTGATCCTGGAGTCTTGGGATCAATTCCCACATCGGGCTCCCTGCATGGAGCTTGCTTCTCCCTCTGCCTGTGTCTCTGCCTCTCTCTCTGCGTGTCTCTCATGAATGAATAAATAAAATCTTAAAATAAATAAATAAATATGGTAAAGTATGGTCCAAGCTTTGAAATGGAAGATTTTTTTAAGAAGTCCTATTAGCACCAAATAGAATGAAATCGACTATTTAAAGCACACATCTTAACAAGGTAACAGTGCAACAAAGAGCTCTGGTCTGATTGATGATGCCCCATAGAAATGGATTTTAGAGATTCACTTGCCAGCAAAGTTTTTCTTTTGTAGGGTAAGGGCAAGGGGCACATAATTTCCCTTGATCGGGTTTAATTCCGTGGAGTGCTTCCCTCGTCAGCTAGGACTAGGGAAGTTAGCGGCCTTAATTATGGCAGCTGGAGTCCCTGCAGCCTCAAAGGGAAGCACAGTGGGTGCCTTGCAATGAGTCTTACTTTATTGGACTCATTTGGAAAAGGGTAATTTGTTCCTAAATTATTCATCAAGATTCAGAGCAGCTGGTGGCTGGCTGCATGTTGTGTATTTTATGCAAGTTTTAGTAGCTGAAGACCTCATTACAGCCCCGGCTGCTGGTGTCTGGGAGGCTTCTAGGAGCACAGCCAGGGGTGTGGAACACCCAGAATGCACCCTCCTGTGCGTTGTGCAGGCTTTTCCAGGAATCGATAAGCATCATCATGTCCCGCCAACCCATTTCCTCCTAAAAGTGCAAGGTGTCTCTGTTCATTGTGCTCATTTCTGGAGCAGTCCCTGTGAGTCGTTGCAGGAATGACAATGGCAGTTTAGGAAGGCTAATTAGTTCAAGCCAAACAATCATTGGTTCTTGAAAGAAAAGCAGGCTGAAAAGTGTACTGCTCATTTTTTTTTTTTTAAAGTTCAATGTTCTTTTTTTTAATTTTTTTAAAAATTTATTTATTTATGATAGTCACACAGAGAGAGAGAGAGAGAGAGAGGCAGAGACACAGGCAGAGGGAGAAGCAGGCTCCATGCAC